ATTGCAGCCCCTTCAGGCCCTTCCTCTGTGGCTGACCCTCTACACTTGGGTACTACACTGTTTTCAGGTAAAGCTCACATCACTGTCAAATTTTTAGTAAAAAGGAAACACAATTCATCTTTGGACCAAAAAAGCCTTCTTCTTCAAAGTGTGAACGTTCCAATAATTCTGAATGTTAGAATTTTCATGTCTGGCACGAGCAGGCAAAAGCAGCTACAGATATTTCTACTTAGGAAGGACACAAGACGCCAATCATTTTCCAGTACCATCGAGGCTCACTTGAACCACATAAAGCAAGCCACGGTAGGAACAACTGAGTCCTTACAAATTGTTTTCTGAAAAGTGTGTCTTATTATGTATGCCCTGGTGCATGAAGACTCAAGAGGACTGTCCGTCTTTCGAGCCCCTGTAGTGAACTCCCCTGTGGTGAAAGTCCTTGGGGCACAGTGGTTACCCGTTGGTTGGGCTGCTAACCGAAAGGCCAGTAGTAAGGAATGACCAGCTGCTCCATGGGTGAAAAACAGCTTTCTGCTTCCATACAGAGCGGGTCCTACCAGTCAGCAGTTCTACCCTGTCCCATAGGCTCGCTGAGTTGGAACTGACTTGATGGTAGTGAGGTTTTTCCCTTTTGCTTGTCGTGTGTGTGTGTGTACACTGCAGTGATTTGGGGGTGGGGGGGGGTGGATTCAGAATACTTTTTGCGATAATGGACTTTTCTCCAGGCCTCCTTGATTCCTACCTGTGCTACCTTTGCTCATGACAGTGTGTTTTTAATGAGTCAGGATTTCTTTCTTCAGACATTCAGCAGTTTTTCCTCTACAGTTGGGAATTCTAACAAAATGAGTTATCTGCAATCCCACTAGCTTCCGGTGAAATAATGTGACGTATAGTTTCCATACTCCCGTGGGGCCGGCTGAGCCTATCAGAGTCTAAAGACAGGAGTCGAAAGATCAGGTTGCATGAAGCTGGGTGCCCCGTAAGAAGCAACCCGAGCTTGAGGGTCACCGTGGTAAGTGGAGTCCTGAGAAAAGCCCAGTCTCTCCAGGTCTTTGGGAAGCAGTAGAGGCCAAACTGAGGAGGAGCTTTAAAAAAAACAAACAAAGCACTTTTTATTGTGAATTGAGTGAAATCAATGTTCCATTCAGCAATCCATTCACTTTTTGTTCACACTGATGGCAACCCCCACCATGTGACATTATTTATCCCCCTTCCTCCCTGTTTCCACTCCTCCTCCTTTCCTAACTTTGTTCTTGGGTAAATGGTGTCTTTAGATTTCAAATGGCTGACTATCTTAATGAGCTTCTCTCTCCAGTGTTATTGCTCCTCATGGAACTACGATTGGCTGAAAATTCAACCTATGTGAACCCCCGGGGGTGAGTTCATCTCCACACCTGAAGGATGACCACGAAACATAGTCTCAGGGGTCCCACCAGTCTCTATCAGATGTGCTTTCTTCTATATCTAAAGCTTTCTAATGTGATTCCTTTCAGAGCAGATTGGTAGTGGTAGCTAGGCACCATCTAGTTCCTCTGGTCTCAGGGTCACGGAGACTGATGTTTGTGTGTCATCCATTAGTACACTGGACTAAATGTGTCCATGCATCTTTGATTTCCATCTTACTTCGTTCCCTCGGACAGGGAGAGACCAGTAGCTGGTACCTTAGATAACCGCTCATAAACTGTTAGGACCCCGGTCAGTACTCACCAAAGTAAGCTGTAGAGATTATCTTTATGGACTACAGTATGCCAACTGACCCTGCTGTTCCCAGTGATGCTGGTCCCGAGCCCTCAGACACAGTTAACTCATTTTCCCCAAGGTGTAAAGTTCTCATATCTTTGCTCCCTGCAGACTCTATCACATTCATGGATCTATTTGCAGCAAAGGCAAATAAATAAATATCTATGTACAAATATTCTGTCAACCGTATCTATATCCATAATTTCGTGAGCATACTCCAACCCCCACCCCCACTCAGCTGCATGGCTCTTTCAGGAGGGATTGTTAAGTAGCATAGGTCGCTCTTGCTTGGGGAAAGTTTGCTTCACTTCGCTTTTACAGAAGACCTACTTGACTAGCTGTTTTGCTAACAGAATGAAACCCTACAAGGATGTGTTGCTCTTATGAAAACAGGAGAAAAGGGGAGACTCTTTAGCCCTCTCAGCCCATGCTGTGCGCAGACCTGGCTGGTGAGATCTCGGCCATTCAGGAGACCACCACCTTTGTCTTACATGCTCTCTTTCTTCTGCTGCTCCACCTTTTTGCTGCCCCTGATCTGAGCCTGTTTCTTGGGGCACCCGCCAGACTTAAGCACAGCTGGACACCATCAGGGGTCTGGCCCTGAGGCAGGAGTAGGAGGAAGACCTGGGCAAGATTGTGTCTTCATGGGAGTAGTAGACAGCCTTATCTTTGTCCCAAGAAGGGAAACAACGACTTTGTGTTTGGCAGCCCAGTGAATAACACACTACACCACCAAGGCACCTATGGTCGTTACATAATCTGGTGTCAATTTGAGAGCATTACAACTGAAGGGGTGGAGTCTGGCCTGTCAATCAAGATATAACCAATGAGGCCTCTGTGTGGGCATGGCCTTCTGAGAATTCTGGGAATTCCTGTATTTCCTCCTTGGAGGTGGGAGACACATCTCTCTCTTTGCTCCCTCCCTGAGAGCCTCTCTATTGATAAGAGACACATGGCACTATGCCCTGGGAGCTACAGAAGCCAGATGGACCTGCCCTGATGCAACCCGACCTCTGGAGTTGGAGTAGCCATACGTAGAGACCCCTGCCAGTGCTGAGATGCTCACAATGCCACTGGATCCACAAGACTTCCAACCTACTGGCCTGTGATCCTCCTGCATTCAGCACCATTGCATGTATTTCGCGAGTCTGAAGAGGACTTTATGAATTGGTATTGGACATATAGGCTAACATTGGACTTATGAACTTGATCTCGACTGGGATGTTTTCTCAATATTTAATTGCTCTTGTATATAAACCTCTTTCTTAAACACAAAAAGAAAGAAAACAGGTGAAAAGAGGATGCAGCATTCAGCATTTCTAAGAGGCAGCACCCACCCCGTGCAGTGACGGTGGTGTCGCCAAGCTCCTTCTCAGGCAAAACCACTCTGCATGCACTCCAACATGAAGCCACTATAGCGCTGAACTCCGTGACTCTCGCTTGTATGTGTCGTATGGCAGGATACGTAGGTTGTATTTGGGGTTTGGGAAGACCCCAAAAAGTCTCCCCATATAAATTTATGGCAACTGCTTTTTCACTGTATGCCATCTCAGCTTATGAAAAGTTCCATAGGTACCCTCTCCCTCCGAGAGCCAGGGAAACCCGTACGTAACTGGAAATACGAGCAGAAAATGCTGAATCCATGATCAAACCCACAGATGTGTGATACTCATTTTACTCTAATTTTCCAGCACCTTTTACTATCATTTTATAGTAACTCTAAAAGCATATCTATAGGTAGCAATCTGTGTCCAGAGTGACACAGTAATCTATGTTTCAAGGACAAATACGAAACAAAACAACCAAAAATACCTGCATGCTTCTAAATGCATTATGTATATATACTCCTGATTTCTTTCTCCATATTCTCTCATCAGAAATGTATACATTTTCACTTACATTGGCCTTCTGAAAAAGCTATATCATTATTAAAATAAAGGGCTACAAATAGCCCTTTGTATGATAAACATTTGGATTAAAGGTAGGAGGCTTTGGCAACATAAGCAAGATTTGAGAAAAAAATAGACTGATTCTCCGTGAAGTTAGTTTGTACAAACTGAAATCTCAATGTAATCTATACTAAGGTCACAGGCTTAAAAATAAATACTTAATAGAAACCTGTAATTATAAAAGAAGTCTGCTATAATCTTATTAAGCCTCACAAAAGGAGCCATATCAATTGAAATATATTAAGCTGAATTGTCTTTGAAAATAATGCTTTTAATTCAATTAGACATTTCAAAGGCTTCTCCTGACATTTTCATTTTTCTGCAACATGTAAGCCTCACAATAATGAAAAGCCTCAATAAAATGCTCCTTGTTTTGTAAAATAAACTAGATTATAGCTTAACTAAGGGCTTCTTCACATCTCTATGTGAGGAGGAAAAAACTTCACCTATCATAGTCTACTTCGAAGGTTTTACAATGGAAGCTAAGGAGTACAGAATAGGCCAATTAAAACCAAACCTATCTAGAAGGAATACTTTACTAAAATAATTCATGTTCATTTCCAATCTAATCATTTTCTAATGGCTCATTTAAACAAAGGAGCTGCTGATAATTAATGATATAAAATTATCTGTCATATGGAAAGGCATACTGAAGAGATAACTTAGAATAATGTAAATCACATTGTTACAAAACAAAGTCTCTACTTCTTGCTGAAATACATAACATTTCAAGAATGACTTTTCCATAATATTAATTTTCCCAAAAGATAATTTTGAAACTGCTATCATAACTAAAGAGTATCAAGGTAAATGACAAAGAACCCTGAAACACTATGGTGTAACTCCAATGTCCAATGAGTTTTCTTGTAATGTATAGAAGTTACAAAAAATATACCGGGCTGTGTCAAAACTGAGGTTCACAGAACTACCAACATATTTTTTCCTCCTAAATGAAAGTAAGACAACTAATAAGCATATTCATAAAAGATCATTAAAATACACTCAAACATCAAAGAACCAAATGCCCATTTATGACAGAGATCAAAAGGCATGCTTCTAAAATACGACAAGTATTTTAGTGGAGTCCAAGCAGGGATGAAAGGGTTACTGAGACGATGCAAGCAATCAGTCATATCCTGCTCTGGGATGTCAGCTTTATTAATAATAATTTTAATTTGGGGGGTAAATTTTAAACAAGAGGGTGTGAACTTCATACCTATAATCTAGTGGGGAGGGGGAAATGGGCTGCTTTGCAACTTATAAATTTCAATGAAAATATTGGGTAATAAAAAAATTTACGTTAAAACAACACAGTTTTCAATGAAACCATATATTTTTACTTTGTAATACAATAAAGTTGTCACATACAATGGCGCTGGTCGGCTTTAATCAAATTTCAATGGGCATGAAGTCCAACGAAGGGTTTACAAAACAGTCAATAAGCAATACTATCTGTTCGGGGAATACAATAACAAAACAAGAAAAGCACTAACCTAGAAACACAAAAGAATTTATTGGTTGCAATTCCAGAAATAAAAATAACAGCATGTAATCCATAGCACACTGGTCCTATAATTTCTAAACTATAGTCCCATTAAAACATTTAAGAAATGGATACAATCTACATGTTCTTCTCTCAGGTAAATGCATCTGAGAGTCCTATAAAGAAATAGACTTTAAACCTCTTAGCCACAAAAAACCTTCTACTGTGACGACACTGAGCCTGTGCCTGACAGAACACGAGCCACTTCCCACAAGGATTCTGTTCACTACCCGGCTGCAGGCTGCAGGCTGCAAGCCGTAAGCGACGCCGTAAGCGACGCCGTAAGCGACACCGTAGCTCCCATCAATACTAAGCTCATTTGACCACAGCAGCACAGTCATGTTTTCCAACCATTATTTATATTCATTAGTATGGAAAAAATCACAGTACACAAACATGGAAATGTTTAATTTGTCCATAAATATAAGAGAATATTATCTCAGCATAAGCTAAAAAATTGTCTAAGCAATCAGCCCGGTACCGAGGGAAGCAGACTCCACACTCTGGTTGAAGTCAAGATACTTTAAATTATAATGGGTGTCGCTGCCAAGAACTAACAAGTGAAACAAAATAAGTAGTTCATCCGGCAGCAAAATTACATCTACCATTAATAGCATCTCCAAGCAAGAATTAATCCGGAGTTTGAATGCAATTTGTGCTTTGTTTCTACAAAAATGCGGTGTTACTTTCAGACATGTCTAAATGACTAGACGTATAAATAAGCAGTGACTGTCTTTTCAGCATAGTTTATTTCTAGTTCATCTTATGTAGACTGTAGATAGAACTAAAAAGTATTTAGCATTTTTTCCCAGTTCTTCAACCACATGAATCAAAGTGTCTTTTGTAAACAGTGATGTATTATAATTCTTTAGGTAAACAACAAAAACAAATTCTAAAATTGTAACTTTAAATCGAGTGTTTAAAATGTCAGACGACAGAGTGAATAATTGTTAACAGTGTCTTTAATTTTATGTTAATAGTCCAATTAAGAATACTAATTACTACCGGACAATAGAGTTGAAAGAATTATAAGGTTTCTATAAAGGGAACAGAAAAACATGCAGAGCACCCCCAGATCACATGATCCTCCTTCCCATTTTATAATCGAAACGTGTAACATTTATATAAATACATGAATGATCATTCTACACGATGCAGGGCTAGAGCGTCTCTACAGGAATTACAGTTTTTGGTCTGAAGGAGTAAGACTACTTGGGGAGGACGAAGACAGTGAAATCTGAGGAGCGGTACGCGCCACACCCGAGCACGCTGCTCTTCAGTCAGCCAGGGCAGCGCAATTACAGTTCCGGACATGATTTTCAAGGCAACTAAGAAATCTGGACACACGCATTTTCCCTTTCCTAGAGTTAACAATTCTTTGAAAAGTTCTGCTCTATCCATAAAGGATGGTTTTTCTTTTTCTGAAAAGGGAACAAAGAATAAATATGTGTATAAAAAAAAAAGATTCCCATCCCCAAATTCCTACACAAGTTAAAAGGTAGTCTTAAATGGTGCAATGCGACAAAACCATTGGTACCATCTGAGGCAGGTGCTCCCCTAGATGGTCCAAAACATGACCCAGGAAAACAAACCATGTTTTCATGCCTTGAACACCTGGAAAGCATGCCATTATTCGTCTAAAGCCATGTTTAGCTAACTCCTTCGGTAGCAGGCTTGGTGGTGTACCTTAACACTGCACTTGACTGACAATGGAATGCCGTATTTCAGACTGCTGTGGACGTAGAATCGGTTAGGAAAACTCAATGTAAAATGAGGCAGAACTGAGTGTTGAATACTAATACCAAATATCTGAAGACAGCATCTTTATGTGTGGAAGACAGTGATATACCCAACAGAAATCAACCAGCACAAAACAGAGAATGAAAAGAATGTTTGCGAGCGAGAGAGAGAATGAGCGAAAGAATGGAGGGGCAAAATGAAGAGCCAGTGCTACACAGAAAAGAATTACTGAAAGTTTGAAGAAAAAAAAAGTGACATGTACATGGCTCCCTCTTTCTTTACATGGTGTCTGTGTTCTTAATAATTTACAATGCAAGTGGCATGTAGCCCCAAGAGAAGCCAAGAAGGGGCCTTCTGACAGACCGAGATGAAGGATTTGGCTAATGGGTTGTTCTGCTTTTTTGTTTTGTTTTTGCTTTTGATTCATACCTGAAAGCCTTGAATCCTTGCTAAATATTCCAGCTGTTTTGAAGGTTGTACTGGAGAACAAGGGGGAGTAGGAGGACTTCCTTTTAAACCTATGGCTTCAGCTGTAGGAGATGTTCCATTCATAAGGAGTTCCCTTGCAATTGTAGTGGAACTATTCGACATGGGAGACAGACTGAAGAAAGAGCTTGAAGGTTGGTTCATATCTTTGGGGGACAAATAGCCTAGAGTAGTGCCAGAGATGACTTTGTGGCGGCTGGCTTCCATCTCTTGATAAACATCAGGAGACAAATGAAGAATTCCTTTGGGAGCTATAAACAAAATGAAGGAACATTGTTAGTACAGTTAAAACAGCTGAAAGAGAAACGTGTTACGGCATCATTAACACCAGGGTTTCACTTGGTGGAGCAACACAGCAGTGAGCAACAGTGCCAATCAAATGCCGTTCCCACCCTTGTGAAGACAACTGCAAGCTCTATTTACAGGAGGATAGTGATGCTTCAGTATTCCTAAAACTTGGAAGTTTAAATAAACCTACCAAAAGATGTGTGTGTGTGGAACGTGTGTGCTTCAGGGAAGCATGGAAGAATGTGTGAAAATGCAATGGGCAAATGCAGCACAGCGGTCACTATGGAGTTTAGTATGTCGTGTTCTCAGAACAAGATATGAAATCCTCAACTGCAGCCCCTGAAGCACAGCAGGAAAAGTGAAAATGGGGCTGGTCCCGATGTTTTCTGCAGCACAAACTCTCGTCCTCTCCTCTTCACAACAAGGTCCCATACACATCTCTAACCCATGGACATGTCCCCTAACTAGCACCATCTCCATTTCATTATGGAATCTATCTGCTCAGCTGCCTAATCTGGAAACCTGTCAAGCATCTTCAGCTCACCCTCAACCAGGTGGGTGCCATGTCCCCTCAAACATCTTTAGAAATGTGTCCATTCATCATCAAGTACATTAGTTCAAGCCAGGCCATGACAGATTCCAATACCAAGAGCAGTTAGCCTGGGCTGCGCCATCCATTGTTGGGCTTTTAAACATAGAAGAGACATACTTGCTGTTGAAGGCCATCTTTCTCAGAGATGTTCTGAACCATATTCCTCACTGCTTTCTCTATGTCTACTGATGCTGACACCAACAACTCTCAAGTCATGATCATGTATTTAAAAAATATTAAAAATCACCACTTTGGGAGAATGCATTTGAGAGATGCAATTTAATCCCCCTGCTTTTACCCATCTCCCTCCTCGACTCCTGATCTAAGTTGGCAATGTCTTCACCTGGCTCACTGTAACAAATGCTCACAGGTTTCACGGCTCCTACTCTTCTCACCTGTCTACTTCCCAAACTGTATTCTGTAGGATATTCTCCTGAAAAAAGGGTTCTGTGGTTGTCATGGAAACAGACAGTGGTGATGATTGTACAACATACTGAACATATTAAGGTCAGTGAATCATACACTTAACAATGGCTAAAATGGCACAAGATAAAAACTAGTTATATATGCACTTTATTTACCATAATAAAATTGTTCAGTATTTTAGAAGAGGGTACCATGATAAATAAATTTAGGGGCAGAGAAAGTAAAATGATATCATGCTTAATTCCTCTTTTGGGGAATTAGAAATGTACATACACACAGTAATAGCTGAGAGTCCAACAGAACATAAATCTATTCACATTGGGTTAACCCAGGGTTTCCTAAATGTATTTTATATCTAAACATTTGATAGAATGTTTTCTTGTGAGTTGGGTGAAACGTTTACACAGCAGATCATCAGTCTGCATTCAACAGTTCATGTACATTTCGTTTCACTTCATCCACTGTAGTCCCCTCGGTGGACCATCACTAATTCTGCGCCCCTCACCCCCTCTGCCCTGTGTTTCCTGTTTTTTTATACCTTTCTTAACCCCCTAAACTTTGCCCTTCAGGTCAATTCTGACATTTTGATGTTAAATGATTGGGTATTCTAACACACAGGTGAGTTCAGTTCCAGACCTAAGGGGGACTAAGGGCTACTATACTCCTCAGACTTCCGCCAGTTAGCCATGTCTCTTTTATGATTTTGAATTCTAGTCTACATTTTCCACCTATTCTATCCATGGCTTTTTAATATGATCCTTTTCAGAGCAGTTAGCCAAGCATATTTTATATAACATTAATAAAATAAAAATATCTAATACCACGAGAATCTCGAGATAAAATGCTAGACAGTTTTGTTTTTTTCATTTTATTACAAACTCTTGTTACAAATCATACATCAATTGTATCTGGCATATTTGTACACATATATTCCATCGTTCTTTTCTAGACATTTACTTTCCATTGAGCCCTTGGGATCAGCTCCTCCTTTTTCCCCTCCCTCCTCCCACCCCAACCCTCATGGCCCCGATAGATTGTAGATTGTTAATTATTTTCAAATCTCACTCCGACCATCATCTCCCTTCCCCTCTAGTTTCTGCTGTTCTTCCCCCTGACTGGGGGTGACACTTTTCTTATTTAAAGTCTCTCACTGGCTAAAGAATCCAAATTCCTTAAGATGGTCTACAAGTCCTTAAGGATCTGGCTTCGAATTTAACCTCCTCGACTAACTTCTTGAAGACCCTGTCCACCAGTCATACACTTCATTGGCACTTCTTCAAATACGTCAGGCTGCTTGAGCCCATCTTGCCTTTGTTCTTATTACTCAGCCAAGTATGTGCACACGTTGAACTCCTACTGCTAGGTCCCAGAAACCAACCTAACCAATACTGTCCTGCCCTTAGGTCAAGCTCAACTGCAAAAGGCCAAGTGAGGGAAGGCAAGAGCCAGCTTCTAATGAGACTTTGTCCTAATGGCATTAAAGTACTTTTTGTTTCATTTTTTTCACTTTAATAGAGGTAGATAGCCAAAGACACACCTTTCAACAACTTTGACACAATTCAGCAATGTTATTTTCATCACTTCAAGTTGTGCCGCCAGTGCTGGCTATCTTTTTCCAAATTATTCCATGACTACTGCCTTACCCTCACTGCTCCCAAGCTCCCGTTCAACCTTTCAAGATGCTACTGTCAATCTGATCTCATATAATGCCCCCCCACCCCCCGTATTTTAAATAGTTTATGATAATGTTTGGGTTTTCTTTATGCCTTTGAGTTAGTTTTCAATTCTCAACAGAAGGAATTTGAGTCATTTTTCAAAGTAGGAAAACACAAAATAATGCTGATCATCTCACCAAACATAAACTATTTTCAATATTCTGCTATTAAAAGTAGACATTTAGTCCTTTTCTCCCTATGTTATTTTTTGGAGGGGTAAAGGAGATAGATGGTGGTTGTTTATAAAACAATGCAATTTTTAAAGCATAATATCTGCTACAGTAAAGTGTGGTAAAGAAATCATCAGATGGTGTCTGATTATCCGAAAGAAGAGCTTCTGCAGACTTAGAGGATTGTCTTTAAACAAGCAGCAATGGAATTGAGGTGTCAGCTAAGTCCACATGGAAGCACACCAGCCTGTATGACCCAAAGATTGTAAATTATAAAATCCAAGATGAGAGGAGGGAATTACATTAGAGCTTAAATTCTGAGCACCCAGTTTGCAGAAGGCTATGGATGACAGTAAAAGCTCAAAATCCATTTGCAGAGTTCCCATCTGGATTAAGCCTCTAGTAATTTCCCTCTGACTACTGACCAGGAATTTGAATAGTTTTGCCATCACACAGAATGCACTGGAAAACAAAGTAATGCAGATAAAATTGATTTTGGTGATAATTGTACAACTCTTTTTAATATGTTTAAACCACTGAATTGTATGGTATGTGAATTACATGTCAATAAAACTGATTTTTAAAAAAGAATCATTCTTTTAAACACCACTAGTCAAACATCCAATTTCTTTATTATTCATTACAATAATAAACACCATAGGGCTGAATGTTTTTGTAAATAAGTTCTTGTGCACATGAAAAATTATTTCCTTGATGAGCCAGTCGGGGTACAGTATAGCACCGATAAAACATACAACTTTCCTCTAGTTCTTTAATGCTTCCTCCTCCCCACTATCATGATCCCAATTCAACCTTACAAATCTGGCTAGACCAGAGCATATACACTGGTACAAATCAGAGCTGGAAACACAGGGAATCCAGGAAAGACAAACCCCTCAGGACCAATAATTAGAGTAGTGATACCAGGAGGGTAAAGGGAACATGGGGGGAGGAAGGGGGAACTGATTACAAGGATCTATATATAACCCCCTCTCAGGGGGAAGGACAACAGAAAAGTGGGTAAATGGAGACACTGGACAGTGTAAGACATGAAAAAATAATAATAATTTATAAATTATCAAGGGTTTGTGAAGGAGGGTGGAGGAGGGAGGGGGGAAAATGAGGAGCTGATACCAAGGGCTCAAGTAGAAAGAAAATGTTTTGAGAATGATGAGGGCAACAAATGTACACATGTGCTTGACATAATGGATGGATTGTGATAAAAGTACGAGCCCTCAATGATTAAAAGTATATATATTTCCTTAAATTATAAGAATTGCTAATTTAAAGGATTTGCATACTATGCATTTTGACATTATTATTCTTTTAAAAAATTCTATGACATTATTATTCTTAAAAAAAATAGTGGTTTCACACCCACAAAAATATATGCAACAGTGTTTTTGGCCTACTGTTGATTTCTAATTTGATAGCTGTCTTAATATCTGAGAACCTTCTAAGTATTTCAATGGTTTTACATTTTTGAGGACTGCTTTGTGGCCTAACATATGGTCTAGTTTGTAGAACGATTCACTTGTGTAGGAAAAGAACGCTCATTGTGCCGTGGAAGGGTGGAGGTTCTATATATGTCTATAAGGTCAAATTGGTTAAGTGTATTGTTTAGATTTTTGAGACTTTGTTGAGTTTCTTTCAAGTTGTTCTGTCCTTCATGAGAAGTGATGTATTAAAGTCTCCTACTATTTCTGTGAAGTTGTCCATTTCTTTTTCCAATTCTGATAAAGTTTATATATTTTGGGACTCTTTCACCAATATGCATATACTTATTATATTTATACCCTCCTGTTCAATTGGTCCTTTGACCACATATAATGCTTTTCCTTGTACTCTTGCTCAGTTTTATCTTATTTTATTGCCACTCCTGTCTTTTTAAATTGTGATTTGTTTGGTATACTAAAAGGACTTCAGACATTTGTAAAGAATGGAATTAAAATATAAAAAACAGTGGGACCCTGGATGTGGAACCCTGAAAGAAAAGAGGACTGGAGTGATGAATTATAACAGGTCCTTCCCTCTATTTTACAGAGTTATTCGTTTGCTTT